AAAAAAAAAAAAAAAAAAAAAAAAAAAAAGAACACATGTAATGAAATTGGGTCAACCTGGGTAATTCAATATAATCTCCTTACTTTCTCAACTCTGGGTCTTTTAATGTGCTGTTCCTTTTGCTTAGAAAATTTTTCCTAAAGGTATTCTGTTTCCTACAAAGCTCTGTACACAGTTTAGTTATCACTTTAGTTGATTATTACCCCACCCTGATATAGTCCTATATGTGTTCCAAGAGTACCCTTTTTATTATATCAAACATAATTAGTTGCTGAATTTCTGTATTTTCCTTTAGAGTCTAGACTGAAAGTTCCACAAGAACAGGGATTATATCTTTCCTATTTCTAAAATATGCCCCAGAACTTATTAGCCTTAGCAGTTATCATATCTCTGGGTCATTGGAATACATTGTCATCAGTGACAGAAGTATGACTCTGTTGTGGATGAATAATTTTGCTGTGTTTATTAAAATATGACCCACCTTTGAATCCTACTTCTTTACATGTAAATATGTAAAATTTTCTGCACTAGTAAAAATTGATCACTTTTACAAGTCACCTCTTTTTCTAACTATTGCCTTGCTTATGACATGTCCCCGCAGTTCTAAGTTAACTCTGTTCACATTACCAACTGTTCATATATCAGTTGTATCTTCTGTATGTGTTCTCATTTATTAGTTTTCTAAATTATTTGTCATTCATTTTCTAATCTTTCCTGATCTTGAACTGGTTTCTGAAATGATGTTCTTAATTGGCTTAATTTTGACTTTGTATGATATTCTTTTTCTGTATCACTGTCTAAATAAGTCTTTGCTGATAACATTTTCCCCCCTCAGATTCTTTTCCCCTTAGTCATTGTTCACATTGATTATTTTTTTCTTTTTAAGTTGATTCATGAACATGGGCAGTAATTTCTGTCGTCATGAGCACCTTTCATCTGTTAGAGCAGTTCCTGAGGATACTTTGACAAGCATAAAGGATGGGGAAAAAGGGGGGGAAATAGAAGACCAAAGCAGTTAGAGAGATGAGGGTAGAGAAATAGAGTGCAGGAAAATGATGTTCATCAATTAAGATTCTTGCAGTTTTGCAAATAATTTCTTAAATTACAAATCAGTGGCAGCCATGTTGATAATTCTGTACCTTTTGCTTTGGTATTTTGTAAATTGGCCCTTTATTATTTTCTACTTTCACTCCCTGAAAGATCTTTACTATTGAATTTTTACTTTGTATGTGGTGGTTCTTCCAATAGCTCCCATTGTCATCACTTCCAAAGTACTGTTTGATACTATTATTATGCAAAATATTGGTAAAGTAGATTCTTTACTTTCTCATCAACTTTTTGTGCCTTATTCAGTATCAAGACTAGTATTTTTCTTTTACTCCTTTTATAAACATGAATCATTCTCTTTATCCCACATTCAAAGAACTGCCAAATTCTATAACTTACTATCAAAATAGAATCAGAGTCATACTGCTGTAAGGGATCTTGACCTAATTTGGCCCATTTTCTCTATTTCTCGACTTCTCAATCAAGTTTAACTGGGAGAATGACTGAATCCCTTGGAACAGAGCTTTCAAACTTGGATTTGCATTTGAATTCTCTGTGGATCTTGTAAAAATACTGATTAATAGACTGATTTAATAGGTCAGAGGTGGACCCAAAATTCTGTATTTCTAAGCAGTCTCTCCCAGGTGATTCTGGTATAGTTGGTTTGTGAACCATACTTTGAGTATCAAAAAGCTAGATGTTATCTAAAATAGCTCATGCTGGGTAGCACTTTTGCCAAGTTCATTGCCTAGTGAAACACTGACTTCAGTCTGAATTTATTATTTCACGGCCTATTTATTGAGAGACTATATATCCCAAACACCATGTTATATGCTATAGATACTAAGGATGACTAAGATGCAGTTTCATTGCAGCCTAGTTAAATACTAGCTAACTTCTGATTCTGTAATATTCTGGCTCTCCCTGTTTCTTAGTTTGATTTCCTTCTGTGTCTTTATTGATTACTTTTCCTTGTTTCACCTATAAATTTTTGTGACTCTCCATATTCCCCAAGTTTAATAGTTTGTACTTCCTTTACATTCAGACCTTGAGAAAATTATCCCTTTGCATTAGATATTATCTGTTTGAGTTATTTCCCCAAATTTATCTTTTTAGTGAAAGCTCTGGTCTTTAGTTTTCAGATTTCAACTCCTATTATGTTCTCTTTTTATTCTATATAGTTTAATAACTAATTATGTGATTATATGTAATGCCCACTGTATTGATCTTACATACCTTTATGCAGTTTACTTTATGATTTTTTTACCTATTAGGTTTTTAATTCCTTCTTTGGCTCTGTACTAATCTTTGTCTCAGATGCTTAATAAATGCTGGTTTCTTCACTTATTTTATGCAAGAAAAATTTTCATTTTGTCTATTAACATCTAGTGTTTTAAACCTATTTTCAAAAAAGTGAAATTCTCCATTGTTAAAACCATTTTGGTGGTTTGCCCATCTCAGCTGCAATATTTATATTAAATTAGTCTGTATTTCCCTGATTTCCCCTTCTTTCTGGTTGTTAGTCACAAAAATAAAACTACAATTTTCTGTCTCTTTTGTTAGATTCTTTTTTTACCTATTTGCCTTAGTAGTAAAATGAAATTACTATTGATGTCAAATCTTGTCAATTTTATTTATTTAGCTTGCCATATTGTTTCTTTTCATCCTGTTTCCTCTTTAAAAATTTTGTTCACCGTCTTTCTTTTGTATATGAAAGATCTTTTTATTGAAAATTCACTTTAAGTCTTCTCTTCCAAATAATTTGATGGACAGAAATCATTATTTCAAAACAGAAAAGCAGTAGTTACCTTTTTTTACTTGGGACATTGGTAAGTAGTTGAAAGGAACCATATCTCTTATTTTTCCTTTTCAGAATATACTTATTTTTTTGGTTCAAGAGTATATATTAGTTATTAAGCAATGTGAAAAACAACTGACGAAAGTTAGAGATCTTATTGAGAACATGTAACTTTTTAAAAATAGAAATGAAAAGAAGCCCACAGGATAAATTTAAGAAGTTTCTATAATTGAGAGGGTTTTGTTTTTTCCCCAGTCGGTAGTGGTTTTCTGAAAATACTTTGGTTCAGTAGAATATGAATTGATTTTATGGTTTTCTTTAATTTAGGAAGTAAGAAAAGTAGCACCAATGTTCCTCATACAGCAAATCAGGGGAAAAATAGGGGATGTGGAAAGAAAGATTTTTCACATGGATCCAAGAACAACAATCTTGTACTTGAAGAAGTGACTTTGACTGTCACGAAAAGCCAAAGAACTTCTAGGCGTCCATCTAATTGGTGGGTGGTAAAATCAGAGCAGAGTAAGTATTTTTATTTAAATTTTGTTTATTAGGAGCTCCTCCAAAATTATTCTGTAAGAGGCTTTATGTTGATTTATATATACTCATTCTTCAGAGAAAACCTATTGACAAAGTTAAATTGGGTCTTCAATAGAAATATTAAATCTGTTAATTAAAAAATATTCATTAAGGCTGTCATGTACAGTATTCTAGATATAGGGGTTCGGCTATGGAAAAACAAAACAAAAAGCAAAATATTCTAGCTTTCTGTGGACTTACATTCTAGCTGGGGAAGACCAACAGTACAGATATGTAATTCATGAAGTGATAGGGTAATAAGAAACAGCAGATAAAGAGTAGAGATGGGAAATAGATGGCAGGGGTGGGGGTGGATAAGAGGATAGAGCAGAGTACTGTTTTATAAAAGGTAGTGATGAGAGTCCATTATGACATTTTAGAGGGCATATATGAAAAAAGTGAAGGAGGGAGCCATGCAAAGAACTTTGTGTGAGGCATTCCAGACCAAGGGAGCAGTATCTGTATAGGTGCTGATGGAACATGCTTGGCATGTTTGAGGAATGTTAAGGCCAGTTTGGCTGAAGAAGAGTAAGTCAGGGGAGAAGTCAGAGAGGCAGGCTATAATAAAGTTTAGAAGAAGTGTATTGGGAGGCTGCTAGAGGATTTTAAGCCCTAATGTGACTTGATTGACTCATCTTACGTGATTATTCTTACTGCTATGTAGAGAGGAAATGAAGGCTGGGTAAAATGGAAGCGTGGGTCCTAGTTAGATTGTTGGAGAGAAGAAATGAAAAGTGGTTGGATTCATGTTTTTAGAAGGTAACTCACGGGAACTACTGAAGAATTAGAATTAGAGGAGTCTAGGATGATTTTGATTTCTGATTTAGGTATCTGGGTAGATAGATATACTTTTCATTAAGATAGGAAATAAAACCAGAGGGACAGATTTAGGGAAGAGGGGTAGGTGAAGATATCAGCATGTAGATAGTAATAAAAGTTATGGGTACATAGGCCCCTCAAAGATAGTACATAGAGTGAGAAGATGAAGCTGGAACCTTGGGGAATAACAGGATCTTAAGGATGCCTAGAAGAGTAGTGGGCAGAGCCAGAGAAGGTGGTTTTGGAAGCTTGTGATAAATTTAGAGTTTTTTGCATGTATCAATAAATGGAAGAGCAGCATAATTTATGAATTTAATTTGAAAACAAATGTAGCCTATGGGATTGGTGTGTGTGTGCCTGTGTGTGTGTTTATATGTAAATATAATTAATGTTAGTATTTCAGTCAGCCAGATCATCTAGATAAATATTATGTTAACTTTAAGTTATCATTGATTCTTTCAGGTCTTTTTTATACCAGTTCTCCAGTAAGAAATGAATTGTCAGTGCATCACAACAGTGGGCGAAAACCTGCTAAAAAAACAAATCAATCATCTAAGAATATTGGGGGAAAAAATGTTCCACTTAAAGGGCAGAAGAGAGCTAATCGAGGCCGCTCAAGAGCACATAAGATTTTAAATGCAAAAGATTCCAGAGAAATTATTGACCATGATGAAATTTCTGGTTCTTCCCAGAATGAGTCTTTGGAATGTGATGAAGCAGACATGGCTAAGAAAAATCTTGATCATTCTGGGTAACGTCTGTTATGTTTACAATATAGTTATTTCTGTTGTTTAGCATTTAATAGTTTATCCATGTTGTTTGACCATTTATAGAGAGGCAGTTTAGCATAAAAGGTTCTGTAGCCTGACAGACCTGGTAGCCAGGCTCTGCCATTAGCTAGGTGACACCCCAGGCCAAGTAATACTCTGAATTTGTTTGCTCATATTAAAATGGGGATTAATTATATGGCTTATGGGAGGTAGTGATAAATTTAATAAGGTATTGTTGTTGCCTGAGAGTTGCTTCCTTTTTTTTTTATTGTGGTAAAAACACATAACATAAAATTTATCATCTTAATCATTTAGAGCATACAGTGTAATTTGCTTCCTTTTAAATGAGGTTAATGTGATTTTCATAATTAGGAATACATCATAATACTTTTCCTAAGATGATAATAGTTAACATATTTTGAGTGCTTATCATGTACCAAGTACTTGTTTTCAATGAATTCTTATCAGTCCTAACAACCTAGAGAGTTAAGTACTGGTGTCTTTTTTTAATTTTTAATTTTCAAGGTACTTTATTTTTAAAACAGGTCACAACACTAAGCTTCTGACCCATAAGTACTGTTCTTACGCATTTTTGCTTATGATATAGCATTTTTTTATTCGTTCAACAAATAACACACATGTATGAGAAACTGCAAGATGTTGTGGATGTACTTAAATAAATGATAAGAGTGCCCTAAAATATATTAATGTATGTCGTTATGGTAAAAAAGAAATCCCATACACATTCTATTTAACTTTGTCACACCATTCTCATATCTTCTTTCTTACTCAGTTTCTTTTTTTTTAAAAAAATACATATATCTTTGATTTCAGAGAGAAGAAGAGAGAGGGAGAGAGAGATAGAAACATCAATGATGGGAGAGTCATTGATCGAGCCTGCAACCCGGGCATGTGCCCTGACCGGGAATTGAACCCCGATCGCCTGGATCCTAGGTTGATGCTCAACTGCTGAGCCATGCCTGGCCAGGCTATTCAGTTTCTTTAAATATTTCAGGTATACAAAAAAAGTAACACCTGAATCCCCATGATCTCGCTTAAGAAATAAAATATTATAGTGACCATTGAAATCTCTTGTGAACTTTTGCCAAGCCCATTACTCCTCTCCCTTGTTAGAGGTAGCCACTACACTGAATTAGATAGGTATCTTTCTCATGGATGTTTTTATACTTTTTCCTACATGTGCATATATGTATAGGGTGTCCCCAAAAATACATACACACACTTTGAATAATTGTAAAGGCAGTGTTTATTAAAATACATTTCATTTTCTTTTTTTCTTTTTTTAGTATATCTTTATTGATTTCAGAGAGAGGAAAGGAGAGGGGGAGAGAGAGAGATAGAAACATCAATGATGAATCATTGGTCAAGCCCACAACCCGGGTATGTGCCCTCACCGGGAATCGAACCCTGATCACCTGGATCCTGGGTCGACGCTCAACTGCTGAGCCACGCCTGGCCGAGCTTTTCATTTTCTTTTATCAGCTATTAGCTGTTAAAGTGTGTATACATTTCATTGTTTTAAAACTTTGTAAAAATGGTTTCAGATTATACATGTCCTATTCTGTCTTGTTTTTTTCCACTGTTCATTATATACTTTTGAGGTTATTCATGTTGATAAGTGATTTATTTTCATTCCTTTTAGTGGAGATTGGCAACTTCCCTTAAAGGGCCAGGTAGTAAATATTTTAGGCTTTGTGGGTCAAGAGGCAAAATCAAGGCTATTATGTAGATACTGAAATAACCATTTAAAATGTAACTTTTTAAAAATGTTAAAATTATTCTTAGCTCTTGGGACTTAAAAAATCAAGTGTGTCCAGACAGAGTGGCTCAGTGGTTGAGCATTGACCTATGCCCCAGGAGGTAACCAGCTTAATTCCCCATCAGGACATATGACCCGGTTGCAGGGTGTATGCAGGAGGCAGCCAATAGACGTTGATGTTTGTCTCTCAGTGATGTTTCAGTCTCCCTCTCCCTTCCTCCCTCCCTAAAATCAGTAAAAACATATTAAAAAACAACAACAAAAAAACACCAAGTGGCTGGTTGAATTTATAGTATCATTTTATATGGATATATGAAAATCTATTCATCTAGTCTCTTAATAAGGCTTTCTAATTTTCCACTATTAAAAACAAATTTTCTGTGCACATTTTATATGTTTCCTTGTGTACACATGTAAGAGACTTCCAATAGTATTATATATACCAAGAAGTACAATTGCTGGATTTTAGGGTATGTATATATTTAACTTGCCTAAATCCTGCCAGATGCTTTCCAAATAGGTTGAGCCAATTTACAGTCCTGCAGAAATGTGAAGAATTCTCATTGCTCCATGTTCTCACCAAAATGTGTTGATGTTAGAATTGCTATTAACACTTGACCCTTGAACGACATGGGGGAGAGGTGGCAGAGCCTTTGCAGTCGAATATTTGTATTTTAACTTGACTCCTCAAAACTTAATAGTCTCCTGTTGACTTGGAAGCCTCACTGATAACATATATACCAGTAGTTGTTTAACATATTTTATATGGTAAATGTATTATTTACTTATTCTTACAGTAAAATAAGCTAGAGGAAAGAAAATGTTATTAAGAAAATCATAAGGAAAAAATACATTTACAGTACTGGATGTATTTATTGGGGAAAAAAAATCTGTATAGGTGGACCTGTGCAGTTCAAATCCTTGTTCAAGGGTCAACTCTATTTGTCAGTCTAAAGGGGTGTATTTCTGGATTTAATGTGCATTTCCCTAATTATTAGTGAGATTAAACAGTTAAACATTTTTTCATTTGTTTCATGCCCATTTTAAAACAGATTGCCTCTTTGTAAATTGCTTGTTAATACCTTTTGCTCATTTTCTATTTTTTTTTTCCAGTATTGATTTTTAGGAGCTCTTTATATACTTACGCTTCTAATCCTTAATGGTTCACATGCATTATAAACATCATCTTTGAGTCAGTGTGTTGTCTTTTTACCTTTTAAGGATGTCTGTAGTGTCTTTCAGATGGAAGATATAATTTTAATGTAGTTGAATTTATCATCCTTTCAATGTTTTGAACAATTGTTTTATTATTTACTTTCTTTTTTTTTAAAAAAAAATCTTTATTGATTTCAGAGAGAAGGAGAGAGATAGAAACATCAATGATGAGAGAATCATTGATCGGCTGCCTCCTGCACTCCCCCTACTGGGGATTGAACCCGCAACCTGGGCATGTGCCCTGATCGGGAATCAAACCGTGATCTCCTGGATCATGGGTCTATGCTCAACCACTTAGCCATGCTGTTGTTGTTTTATTGACTCTAAGGTCATATAGACCTATTTTCTATACTTCTGAAAAGTTTAACTTGTGCCCTGGCCAGTGTGGCTCAGTTGGTTAAACATTGTCCCATGCACTGAAAGGTCGCTGGTTAGATTCTGGGTTAGCACACATCCCCAGGTTGCTGGTTTGATTCCTGGTGGGGGGCATACAGAAGGCAATTGATCCATGTTTTTCTCTCACATCAGTGTTTCTCTATCTCTCTTTCCCTCCCTGTCCCCCTCTCTGCATTTCCCTTCCTCTCTCTAAAAATCAATTAAAAAAACCCCAAACAAACTTTAGCTTGCTCTTTTATATTTACTTTTTTAAACCATCTGTAATTTATTTTTGTATTTTACGTGGAATAGGAAATCTAAATTCTTTTTCTCCATGTAGATAATCAGTTGTCTAATCGGTTATTGAATAGTGCGTTTCCCCCCACTGATGCATAGTGTCCTCTGTCTTGTCTTAGATTTCCATATTTATATCAGCTTGTTTCTTACGTCATTTAATTTCCATAAGACTCTAGTTGGTATTAAATATTATCTCATTGTGGGTTTTATTTGTATTTCCCACATGACTAATGATGATGAACAAATTTTTTCATGTGCTTATTGGTCATTTGCATATCTTTAGAGAAAGATCTTGGCTGATATTTAATTGGGCTGCTTTTTTTTTATTGAGTTGTAAGAGGTCTGTGTATATTCTAGAAACAAGTCCCTTGTCAAGTAAATGATTTCAAATATTTTTCTATACTGTGGGTTGTCTTTTAGCTTTCTTGATGGTATCTTGAAACAAACATTTTTTAGTTTTGATAAAATCCAATTTACGTATTTTATCTTTTTTAAAAATATATTTTTATTGATTTCAGAGGAAGGGAGACGGAGAGAGAGATAGAAACAACAATAATGAGAGTCATTGATTGGCTGCCTCCTGCACAATCCCAACTGGGGATCGAGTCCGAAACCTGGGCATTTGCCCTGACTGGGATTGAACCCTGACCTCCTGGTTCATGGGTCGATGCTCAACCACTGAGCCACACTGGCTGGGCTATTTTATTTTTTATTGTTTATACTTTTGGTGTCAAATCTATGAATCCTTTGCTCAATCCAAGTTCATGAAATTTACCCTATCTTTTAAGAGTTTTATACTTATAACTCTTAGGTTTAGATTTTGAATCCATTTCAGGTTAATTTTTGTATGTGCTGTGAACTTTTTAGTTATTCCATAACCATTTGTTGAAAAGACTATTCTTTCCACATTGAATGGTCTTGGCACCATTGTTGAAAATCAGCTGACCATAGGTATATGGCTTTATTTCTGGATTCTCACTTGTCAGTTATTGTTCCAGTACCACAGTGTCTTGACTACCATTGCTTTATGGTGAGTTTTGAAATCAGAAAGTGTGAGTCCTCTTTTTTTTCTTCTTCTCAAGGTTGTTTTGGCTATTCTGGGTTCCTTGTAATTTTCATAAAAATTTTAGAATCAGCATCTCTATTTCTACAAAGATGTCAGTTGGGATTCTGATGGGGATTGCATTGACTCTTTATATCAATTTGGGGAATATTGCCATCTTAACAGTAAGTCTATTGATCCATGCACATGGGATGTTTTTCCATTTATTTAGATCTTTAATTTCTCTTAACAATGTTTTCAGAGCATAAGTTTTAACATTTCTTTTAAAAAATGTATTTCTAAGTACTGTATTACTTTTGATACTATTTTGAATGGAATTGTTTTTTAAATTTTATTTTTGGATTGTTGATTGCAAATGTATAGAAATACAGTTGATTTTTGTATATTGATCTTGTATCCTGCAAGCATGCTGAATTGACTTATTAGTTCTGATAGTTTTTAGTGGATTTCGTAGGATTTTGTAAGTGTAAGATAATGTCATTTGTGAATAGAGATAGTTATACCTCTTCCTTTCTTATCTGAATGCTTTCTTATATTTTTTTCTTGCCTAATTGCCCTGGCTAAAATCTTCAGTACAGTGCTCAATAGAAATGGCATTACCAGATTTCCTTGTCTTGTTCCTAACCTTATGGGGAAAGCATCTAATTTTTTCACAATTCAGTATGCTTTTAGCTGTGGGCAGTTCATGGGATGCCCTTTACCAGGTTGAGGAAGTTCCTTCTATTACTAGTTTGTTGAGTGTTTTTACCATTAAAAGTTTTTGTATTTTGTTAAGTACATTTTTTTTTGCACCTAGTGAGGCGCTTATATGAATTTTATTTATTATTCATATGTATTACGTTAATTATTTTTTTGGATATTAAACCAAACTTCATCTCTGCTATAAATCCCATTTAGTCATGATGTATAGTTCTCTTTATACGTTGCAAGATTTGGTTTGCCAGTATTTTGTTGAATTTTTTTGATCTGTAGTTGTCTTGTGGTGTCTTTGTCTAGTTTTAGTATCAGGATAATACTGACTTCGAAAGTGAGTTGGAAAGTACTCTTCTATTTTTTAGAGAGTTTGTGAAGAATTTGTATTCTTTCAGTGCTTGGTAGAATTCAGCAGTGAAACCATCTGGGCCGAGGCTTTGCTTCCTAGGTAGTTTTGTGATTACTGATTCACTCTCTTGTTATAGGTCTTTTGAGATTATTTCTTCTTGAATCAGTTCTGGTGATTTGGTTGTTTCTAAGTATTTGTCTATTTTTCCTAGGTTACCTAATTTGTTGGCATATAATTGTTCATAATATTTTCTTACAATCCTTTTTTTTCTTTGGACTGTGATGGTAGGACCCTCAGGGGTAATAGAACCTCTAAAAATAAATTATCAGAATACTCAGAAATTTGCATGCTTGCTAATTATGTTGTATGTGAATTGTTTTCTCACATATGATAAGTGCCATCTGGTAAACTGAGTCAAGAAACAAAGCGTTAAGACTTAAAAGAGAGATGAGAAGAAATTATACAGTCTAGGAATAATGTATCTTGTTTGCATATATTGGGGATAAACTAATTAGCTGGTAGCTACCAAAGAGCTGGAGCTGGATCCCTTTGGACACCTTACCTATTCCTCAATAGGCTGATTGGGGGTATCAAAGAAAACAATTTCAGTTGTTGGTGGATTTTGTAAAAAACTGTGATAGATTAACTGTGTAGTATATATCATAAGCTGCCTGTAGGTAATGTCTTTTGTGTCCTGTCATCATTTCCATCTTAGGCTAGGTGTGTGCCATTTCTCTTATCTGAATTTTTCAAATTAGAACTCTCTTGGTAGGTCCTAGAATCATATTGCCTTCCTGGGCTAGTTGTAAGTTCTAGGATCTGAACGGGTTTAGGGGTTAATTGTTAACAATATTATATTGTCTACCCACCTGTGTGTCCTATTTTATGAAGAAATGTAAACAGTTACAAACTTTATATTTTTATAGAGTTACAGGAAGTTCAAAAGATGAAGATAACATTGTGACTGCAAAAAATACTCATTTAAAGCCTCAGAGCAGTGGACACCCATGCAAGACACCAGCAGAGTCTGACTCTGATTCTGGAGAGCCTAAGACTTTAGTTTTGGAAGGAAGGTATGCATGTGTTCTAAGAACCATAGGACTTACTCACTGTGTCAGTTACTCATTGCTGTGTAACACATTACCTCAGAGCTTAATAGTGACTTGCAAAGCATTCAGTGTTTCATGGTTTCTGTGGGTCAGAAATCTGGGAGGGGCTTAGCTGGCTAGTTTTGGCTCAGGAGTTCTCATGAGGTGCTGCATTCAAGATACCTGTTTGGTGTGCAGTCCTTTGAAGGCTTGACTGGAACCGGAGGACTTACTTATAAGGTGGCTTCCTCACAGGGCTGTGAGCTGGAGGCCCCAGTTTCTTGCAGTTAGCTCCTCTCCATAGGGCTGTTCAGTAAGGCAGTTAGCTCCTCAAAGCCAGTGATCTGAGAGAAAGTATGACTGTAATGGAGGTCATAGTGCCTTTTAATGTCTCTGAAGTTGCACGCTGTCATTTCCACTTCATTCTGTTAGTTAAAACAAGGCGCTAAGCCCAGACCACATTTAAGGAGAGGAGAATTAGGCCCTGCCTCTTGAAAGAGGAATATCTAAGAATTTGTGGCATTCTTAGATATGGCGCACTCAATGGGCAAGCCAACTAACGTATTCTTATAATATCTGAAGCCATATATCCTTTTTAAAAATGAAGGAATTATAAATTATTCTCAGACTTAAGGGCTAAGGTTTCTTTACTATTTGGTGGGTTATGACTACTAGACCTATAATAGGTTCATAATAGGAAAGGACTCTAGGACCGAGATAAGCTAAATCATTTCTGAACAATTTCTGGACTATATTTTAAATTCCATTTTTTTGGTAATAGTTTTTTTTTGTGTTTTTTTTAAAAAACATTAAGCTGATTTATATCTAATTTTATTTCTTATAATTTGATTTTTATTGAAGAATGTTATTTGGTTTGAGTTAAATTCATAACTCTGGTTCCTGAGTTACTTTAAAGGACTATAAAATTCAGAATTTGTCATATTTGACAGTCAGTTATAGAATTGAATTGTAGATTCTTTGTTTTATGCAGCTAGTAAATATATTGTTGATGGCCTATAACATTGTTATTGGTTTTATAAGAAAGAAACCTTTGTCAGTTTTAGGAGAAAAATGATCTTTAAGGTAGATAATTAGATATATGCATTATAAAAGCACAATTTTCATGGTTTACTTTCTTTTCTTAAGTGGACCTTTTAGGCTCGAGAATTATTTAATGTCTGGAAAGAATAATTCAGATGTAGATGATGAGGAAGATCAAGAAAATTCAGGTAAGTTGTTCATTTTCTACTGTCTTGATTTTTATGGCACCATGCATATGTAATTAGGTGTGCTATGTTTTTTTTAAATTAACACCATTGGTAAATGTGTATTGAGTACTTACTCTTATGAGCCTTACTATATGTTTAGAGATTTGTAAGACCTTGTACCTAGGTGAGCAGGAGGGAGATAAAAGAGAATGAGAGTGAGTGACAGCCCTTTCTTTCAAAGAACATAATGAAGTAATTGACACTTAAGATATCTACTTCAGTATTTAAAAGTGTTGATAAGGGTGTATAAATGAAGCAAGATTAGTCATGTATTGATGATCCCTGGAGTTGAATGATGGCCATATCAGGTTTATTGTACCATTTTCTCTGTTTTGAATATGTTTGAAATGTTCCATAATAAAGATTTTAAAATGCATCTTAATGGAGAGTTTTATAATTTTTTTATGCCTCTAAACAATGTGTGATAGAATATAATCTGTTATACTATATTTTTCTTAATTCACTAAATTCTTTTCCTTTAAAAAATGGTTTCTCCCTGTGTTTACATATATTGTTATTTTCGCCTCTAAATTGAATGCTTTATTTTTCTACTTTTTATTTGGTAAAGAAAAAGCAGAGAATTTTCCTGAGTATAGTTTTGGCTTACTTTTTGGTTTGCTTTTATAGCTTTTTTTATAGCTTAATTTTATAGCTTTGAAAAATAGTTTCTTATTGTAGTATACTCTAAATTATAGTGATTTTTTTTTTTTTTTTTACTTAGTAGTTATTTAGCAGTACATTAGTCAAGAACCTGGTCTCCAGAGTTAGGAATCTAGGATTGAATCCAGCTCTACCACTTATTAGCTATGTTTTCTTGAGTAAGAAATTTCAGTGGTCTTAACTTCAGCTTCTTTATCTGTAAAATTATGATATCAGTTCCAATCCCATAGATTGATATAAGGATTAGTACACATCCCTTGCTTAGTTTAATAGCTGGTATATGCTAGATAGGTAATGTTGGCTGTGATTTTATGAAGTTGTGTTTTGTTTTGTTTTGTTTTATGTTAATTTCTAGTTTCATTTCATTGTTTTGGGAACTTTGGCCTATATTATTTATTTTTTGAATTTATTAAGGTTTTCTTTGTGTTCCGAGGTATGCTTAGAACACATAAAATTCATGGAAGAATTTTTTATAATTCTTCTATGGGTGCTTGAACAAGAGAATATTATTTTTGTGTGTAGAGATATGGATTTAAAAATATGTATTCATTCATTATTCTGATAATATAAGTGGATATATATTTTGGAATATACTTTGAATATTTTTGGAATTCATAAGTATTTATGGAATGTTATAGGATACTTGCTATGTATTCTGCTAGAAGCTAGGGATGTGGTTGTGAACAAAACTGACAAAAATTTCTGCCCTCATGGAGCTTACTTTATGGGGTCCAGGATTTAAGACAATAAAAACAAAATAGCAGAACTTAAGATTTGTTGAATGTTGAGAGTAGAAAAATAAAGCAGGGATTTTAGGGTGGAAATGGGGGCTATGTTTTTAGGTAGATGGGCGGAAAAGGCCTCACCGAGGAAGTGATCATTTGAGCAAAGATATGAAAGAGAAGCTATATGGGGAAATAGTGCCCCAGACAGAGGGAAGATCTAGGATAAATGTTCTAATGTGGTAGAGTCTGTTCTGATGGAGAAAAACACCAAGGAAACCAGGAGGGCTAGAGCAGAGTAAGAGGGATAGAGTAGTAGGAGATGATGTCACGAGGTGACAAGAATGAGATCAGTCACATAGAATATTAAAGGCTGTTGCAAGGATTTTGGGCTTTTACTAAGAGAGATGGGAAAGCCATGGAGGGTTTTGAGCCGAGGAGAGGCATGACAGACCTGTAAACAGGGTCACTATGGCTGTTGTGTTAGGGATGGACTGATGAGTTTGGGGGTGGGGTGGGGGTTGGTATAAGGTTGGAAGCAGGGAGATCAGTTTGTAAGACATTAATAACCCCAGTGAGAGGTAGTGGCTTGAACTAGAATGGTAGTAGTGGAGAGGTGGAGAACAGTCATAGGATTTTAGGTATTTTTGAAGATAGAGTCAACACGATTTCCTGATGGGTGGGATTTAGAGTATAAAAGAAAGAGGTATCAGGGATTATGTTAAGGTTTTTGGCCTGAGCACCTGAAAGAATGGTGGTGTCATTGCTTGATTTTGAGATGACTAGGGAAGGAGCAGATTTTGGGAAAAAGAATAGGATCTTAAATTTGGACATGTTATCTTTTATACTATTCTGACTTTATGTCCTTACATTTGATTTGTGAAGTTTGTTAAGATCTGCCACAGTTGAAGTGTTTTTCACTGCAGTGGTCTTGTCTGTTTCTCCCTCTGTTTACCGCAGCGTTTGCTATACATGTTTCATTGCTGTTAGTGAGCATGTACACTTTCATATGGAATGTACATGCTTTGGTCAAATTTATCTTCTTGATCCTCTTACAGTGCTTTTACCTCATAGTCTGTTTTTCTAATATTAATATTGTGATCCTTGCTTTCTTTTGGTTTGTCGTTGTTTCTTACATTTTTGTTTATCCTTTTACTTAAACTTTTTTACAGAACTAAAATGAAGTGACTTAGAAATAGCACATGATCAAATTTTTATTTTTAACTTGCTTTGTCAGTATTTTTTTCTGTTATGTTTAACATATTTATATTCTCAAACAGGTGTGTTGGTTACTTCTTTGTAAAGTTGGTAGATATTCTCACATATGCTTCAAGAACTCAGGAATTTTTTTAAAACACAATAAACAACTAATCGAGTAGTAAAAATAATCTTGAGTCATAATCTTTTTTCCTTTAAACTATCTGGCTATTGCTCTTTTGCCTTGTCGTAGTTAGTGCTTAGGAGTACAAATTTGAAGGCAGTCTTATTTCTTTTTTCCTTTGTAGATAACCTGTTCTCTTGTATCCATGCTTATTAGGATTCTTTAATCTTTGAAATTCAGGAGTTGTGTCTGTGCTGCTTTTTTTGAAAAATTGCAAACTTATCCAGAAATCTCATATCCCCTTCATCTAGGTTCTACAGTTGTCAGCATTTTACAACATTAGTTTCATCTTCTTCCCTGCCTTGCTTACATATATGTTCATACATATTAATTATCATTAGCCTATTCTGAACTTTTGAGGGCAAGTTGCAGACATACCAACGTGTGAGTATATGCAGATATTAATACAAGACAAGAACATAATTACCCTTCAAACATCCAGGTCAGGACATCAGCATTAATGTAACACTAGTACAGCAGGTCCTTATATAACATCGTTTCATTGTAATGTTTACGAGAAAAAAACTTGATTCCCAGCCAGGGCTACTGTCTGTGTGGAATTTGCACGTTCTCCCCATGTCTGCATTGGTTTTCTTGAGGTACTCTAGTTTCCTCCTCCATCTTACAGATGTATACATTAGGTGAATTGGCATGTCTAAATTGCTCCTATCTGATGAACGTGGGTATTTGTGAGTATGCCCTGTGATCGAAAGGCATCCTGACCAGGATTGGTTTTCACCTTATGTCCTGAGTGTCCAGGATAGGCTCTAACCACCTGTGACCCTGAGCTGGACTAAGAGAATTGCAAAAGAATGATCTTTTAAAAAAATTTTTTTATTAATCTTTCTTAAATGAATCTATAGCTCACATTTATCAAGGTTTAATATTAGAACCTTGTTTGGGGCCTTAATTTAGAAGTTTGGGGATTTGGCTTTTGTGAATAAAAATATGCCATAAAAACTTAACTCTTATTGATATCAATTAACCTATGGTAAAATTGGTTTTCTTATAGTATGTTGTTTCACTTAACAGTTTCCAAGGCCCTATTGATGCCATTAAGTGAGGACTTACTGCATTCCTTCACTGACTCCATGCAGATTTCACCAGCAGTTCCATCAGTGTTTCTTTTTTCCTGTGGTTCAGGATCCAGTCCAGAATTATGGCCTGTGTTTAGCTCTCCTGTCCCTTGAGTTTCCTTCAATAAGGAACCACTTCCTTAGCCTTTTTTAAACTTCCCTGACCTTTACATTTTTTGAGAAAGTACCAGCTTTTCATTCTTTAGAATGACCTTCAGCCTGATGTTGCTTCATGAACAGACTCCAGCCATGCATATGTGGCAGAAATACTACAGAAATGATGCTGTATTCTTTGCACATCACATTAGGAGGCGCACAGTGTTGACACATCTATTGGTGATGTTAGTCTTGATCACCTATTCAAGTTATTGCCAGATTTCTCTAAAGATACAATTTTTCTCTTTCATAATTGATAAGTATTTTGTAGAGTGTTGTTTTGATACTATTTTAATAAGTTGTTTCTTTTCAAACCTCCACACCAATCTTAGCATCTATTAACACTCCCACCTGAATCATCAGCCATTAGTGATACCAAATTATTTTCTATTTCCTTAATTCCTCCTCTGTTAGTTAGCATTCCTTAAGAAATAGTTTTTCTTACCCTTTCTCCATTTATTTATTCAATATTTATTTATTATTTTTATGGGCTACTACTGGGTTTCTGTTTTATTTTTGTGGGTTGTAATCTTTATCATTTATTCTGATACTCAATTTATGCCATATTTGGCTAGTAGATATCCTTTCAATTGGTCCCTATTTCCTTTTGTTGTGTTCCTATCATGTTTTGAATACTGTCTTATTTTTTTTGGCGTAGGAAGTTCTAGGACCCCTGTCCCATCTGGAATCAATTATTTTTCCTAAGGAACCTTTTTAGTGGAGGATGGCCTTGTAGAAGCTCAGATCTGGGGGCTTGGTGTGCTTATTGTTGCTGGGATATCATTGCTTCTAGGCTCTTTTAGTAAATTGATATACAAAATAGATACACACATACCTATATATCTACACTGTATATGCACAAGCATCTATATCTTTTTCTGTATTTATATTTAGAAATTATGAGTTCATATTAGTACATCTGACCTCAGTCCATTTTTATAAACCCCTTAGGTAGTGAGAAACCTGGCTTCTATTATTTGCTTTCTTCTTTCTCTGACCCCACCAGCTGCCTCCAGGACCCACTGCTGTAGGAAATTTTTCAGGCAGAGACTAGCCTTCTACTTGTTCTAGAGGGGATTGCATGGGAAGTTGAATTTTTAAATTTTTGGCAAAAGCTTTATTGAGATAGTCTTTACATACCATACAATCAGCCCATTTATTGTATATAATTCAGTGGTGTGCAGCCATCACCACAATAAATTTTAGAACATTTTCATTACCCCAAAAAAGAAACTTTATATTCTTAGATAGCAGGTACCTTTCATCCCCCACCCCCTTCCCTGGGCATTCACTAATCTGCTTTTGATCTCTATAGATTTGCTTGTTTTGGGCAGAGAAATTAGATTTTATGATCAATAAAGTTTCTTCCAAACCAGTTTTATAAAGTATCTAATTGAGTCATTCTTAATAATCTTTTGCTATCGTGGACTCATCTGAGAATATAATGAAAACTTAGATCTACTTTTCAGGAAATGCGTATTACATACAAAATTGTATCAAAAATTAGCTGGTTCATGGACATTAAATGTTCCATTTACATATTACAGTATAACCCTCCAAAACTTGGTGGCTTAATGAAAAAATTGTTTTTTATCTCTCATGGTTCTGTGGGTTTTCTTGGCTTAGCTGGGCAGTTATCACGGGCTCTACATGCATTTGTACTTAGGTGCAAGCTACTGGGCTGGAGTAATTTGAAAGCTCAACTGGACAGGAAGTCCAAGGTGCTTCTTTATATATATTTGGCATCCAACAAGGGTGGCTGGAACAGTTGGGAGCTGGCCAAGCACTTTTTCCTCCACATTACCTTTCCATATGCTTAGAGTGGATTTTCTCATAGTGTGGCAACCTTGGGGTAGTGAGTCTTCATATATGGTGGCTGTCTATCCCTAGAGTGAAGATCAAGATGTTCAGGTGGAACCTGTGTATCTTCTTAAGTCATAGTCTTTGAAGTCCCAGAACATCATTTCTGCTGCATTGTTAATCAAGCAAGTCACTACGGCCAAGAGAGATTCAAGGAGACTCCATTTCTCGATACAGAACATTTGTGCATAGGAAGAGATAGAATTGATGGCAGCTATGTTTAGATGCTATTTACCACATCAAAGTTTAGAGCCTCTGACATAATTGACACACTGCTAAATTCAGTACAGTTATACTCTTTTAGGGCTTTAAGTATCATAGATTATACATTATTAACATATTCATAGTTAATTATTACACCCTGCATCTTTATCCACCAATAGCTTATTTCACCTGAAGTCCACGAGCAATAGAAAACCTGTTTTTTATTTTTAACTCCTATGCTCTTTAGATATATTCATCGTACCAAAATCTAGAGAAATGTTACACTGTCTTTCATTAGTCTTTGTTCCTTAACACTGAAAAGCAGAAGGAGTAATAAAATGCATTTTCGGGTCAAACTTTATTTAAAATACTTATGCTGAAGTTAACCAAGTAATACGTTTTAGTTCAACATGGAATTAGTGCCATTGTTTATGAAATTGTCTTTTGCATTTTGCAGATAACGCAGGAGTAAAAAGATCTAAAGTAACACAAGAGAACAAAATACATCACAAATTAGGTAAGATTATTTCTGTCTTTTAATGTTTTCATATTATGAAACCTGTTTCTAAATATAACTTAATTTTTCTCAAGTAGGGGGGAATATTTGCGTTAATTGGCAGATAAATTAAAACTACATATTTAGTTTTTATGAATTTCACAGTAAATCATCACAGGCTACCTGAGTTTCTTTATTGTCAATATGTAAATCCTGTAGCTCTCTTTCTTTGTGTCAGAGTAAGGAACACAATCCTACCTAGGATAAGAATCTAGGATGGACAATTCTATAAAATATAGTTGCTAGGTAGATGGTATCCCTGAGAACTTCACCTCCCATTTTTATCTAGTTCAGTCCTAAATGAAGCATTAGCTAGGATAGCTAAGTAGTAGGCTGGGAGCTGTGGCACGCCGGTAGAAGCCTGTGTGAGGATTAAAACTCCATGGTTCTTCCCCAAAGAGATATTTGCCCATTGAGATTCATGGGACCTCCTACCTTTGTGGAATTGGAGTGGCTTTTTAGGTTTCTTCCTGTACTTGAGGCTGTGATTGCTCCTGTGCTGTACCTGAAGAAAACTAATAGGAGTGAAGCTTTTTCTAATTGCTTCAACCACAAACTCACATCTCAGTATTTTGCGAGCCCATCTGAAGAGATACTGCTATACCTTGCAGTGCTTACTGCTTGTCTTGGAGTGGAATGATGACTAGAGTCAGGAATAGGCAAACAGAAGAAAAAAATTGTCCCTGGGCAGGGGCTACAGCAATCAGAGAGGAAGACAAGCATTATCCCTAAGAACAGTAGGCAACCTCTGATGAGCTAGAACTTTTATAGTAGATGGACAACAGTTGACAAAAGAAATATGAGCAGTATCAGAGGTCCAGTTATAGCAGAGGAGACTTTCTGGTACTAGATTATTATAATTTTTGAGTTTAAAAGTCAGCAAATGAACTGAATGTAAAAATAGTCACTGTTGAGAGCTCAGTTAGTAGCTGGTATTGACAAGGAAGAAATTACTCAAAGCAGAAATACAAAAGATGGAAACCATGAAAAAAAAAGATATCCAATGAAAATAACATTGGAGACAACAGACAAAAACATACAAATAATAGGATCGCCAGAAAAAAGAAAACTTCTCTGGATTAAATATAAGCTTGAATCTGCAGTTTGAATGAGTTTACGAACTGGCAGACAGAATTATTGAAAAAGATACACCTCTATACATAAGTGAATAAAATTCCTAAATTTTAAGGATAGAGAGAGGTTTCCGTACAGAAAGAAAAAGTTAAATGACTAGCCTGCCTATCTGTGTAACAATTGGGAGAATAAAGTAACATCTATGGTCTACTTTCAGAAATATATTACAATCCGTTCAATCTTATAACTACCCAAGATATTTTTCTTTTTGATAGTTGAATTTATTTTCTAGATAATGCAGGGTTGAAGTTTGGTATCCTCCATGTGAAATACCCATGTTAGACATTCTAACCAAGTTATCATATAAATCAGAGTCGAGTCCAAAGAGATAAAACAGTAGTGAGGAATGATTCTTGAAATATATGTGGTTAAATTTAAATAATGTGCATTTGTTTTCTATTGCTCTATACTAAATTACCACAAATTTAGTGGCTTAGACAACCATGTTTTATTATCCCATGATTCCCATGGAGTAGGAGCCCAGGCACAGATTAGCTGGGTCCTCTGTTCAAGGGTTTCACAGACTGCAATCAAAAGTGTCAGCCTCAGCTGTAGTCTCATCTGAGGCTTGGAGTCCTTTTCCAAGCTCATGTGCTTGTTAGCACAATTTAGTTCCTTGAAATTGTAGGACTGAGTTACCTGTTTTCGTTTTGGCTGTCGCCATGGGCTACTGTTTTTAGCTTCTAAGGCCACCTGCCAGATGACTCTTTTCATAGGCCCCTCAGTATGGCAGCAAAGTCACCAAGGAAGACTTTCTCTCTGCTTCTGCTAGATAGTGTCTTATATGTATAATATCATGTATTGTCATATATATAACCCTAACGGAATCACAAGAGTGATTTCCCATCACCTTTGTCATATGCTGTTGATGAGAAGAAAGTCACAGGTCCCATATGCATTCTCCAGGAGGGGATTATACAAGGGTCTAAGCCAATGCTGATTACTGTAGGGTGTGTCTACTACTTAATGCTAATATGATTTGGGCTTTATAAGTGCTAAGTCAGGATTTTTGTAATAGTACTTTAAAAATCCAGACTATCTTAAAAGTTGGTATGGTGGGGAGGAAAATAGGGGTAGAAAAGGGGTAATAAAAGTGTAGTAGTCCAGCCCTGCCAGGCGTGGCTCAGCAGTTGAGCGTCGACCTAGGATCCAGGTGATCGGGGTTTGATTCCCGGTCAGGGCACGTGCCCGGGTTACGGGCTTGATCCCCAGTGGGGGGCGTGCAGGAGGCAGCCGATCAGTGACTCTCTCATCATTGATGTTTCTTTCTCTGTCTCTCCCTCTCCTTTCCTCTCTCTGAAATCAATAAAGATATATATATATTTTAAAATGTAGTAGTCCATTCTTATCCACAGTTTCAGTTATCTGTGGTCAACCATGGTCTGAAAATATTACATGGAAAATTTCAGAAATAAAGAACTCATAAGTTTTAAATTGCCTGCCATTCTGAGTAGTTTGATGAAATCTTGTGCTGTCCTGCTTCCGCATCCAGGATGTGAGTCATCACTTTTGTTCAGGGTATCCATGATGTATACATTACCTGCCTATTATTCACTTAGTAGCTGTCTGCGTTATCAGATCTACTGTTGTGGCTTTGCAGTGCTTGTGTTCAAGTAACCCTTATTTTACTTAATAATGGCTCCAAAGTGCAAGGATGGTGATGCTGGCAATTCGGATAATCAAAAGAGAAGCTGTAAAGGGCTTCCTTTAAGTGAAAAGGTGTGTATGTATAGGAAAAAACATAGTATATATAGTATATATGTTTGGTGTACTATTCATGGTTTCAGGCATCCACTAGGGGTCTTGGAAACTACCCAGTGGAAAAGAGGGGACTACTGTAGTTTAAAAGTTTCATTTTATCAAATGAGAAAAAAGAGAGGATAGCATATCTTTGAAAGGAATATAGTTTTTATATAACCACGAAAAAAATAAGAGTTTGATTTTCAAGTGTCAGGAATGGGAAGGTAATCAATATTAGTGTGAAAAAGCACAGTACAACTTTGAAGTAACCAGGAGAGAGGGAAGAAATGGTCATTTGATCAAACCAATAAAAATTAGAAGAATCACTAATATAACTTGTAAATATAAAGTAAGATGGAATAAAAGAAAGCTTGTTACACTAAATAAATATTAATGAATTGAATTTCTCTCATAAGATACTCAGATTTAGTTAAATAATACAAAACAACCTATATGTTTGTAAGAAACACTTAAAATAAGTTTTAATAGAAAAAGTTGTCAAAGAATTAGGTAGGTTAATATAAACAAAAATAAAATAGTAGTGCAATTTTAATATTAGGCAAAGTAGAATTTAAGGTTAAAATAAAAGTGTTGAGCAGTGGATAGAAGAACATACAATGATAATATGAATAATTTTTGAAGAAAGAAAAGTCAAACGACTTAGCAACTAAAATATATAAAGAAAAATTAAGAAAAAGCAAGGAGATTTTCTTTTAAACAATACAGTTAGATGGAGACTTTGATAAACCATTTTTAAAATTGGACAACTCTAGCAAACAAAAAAATAATAACATAGGAATGTGATTATATAGCCAACTTAGTATATAGAACTTTGAATTGTTCAAATAAAATGAGTGGATATATGTGTTACATGCACAAACATGCACATGTTTACACATTTCCTATTCTGAAGCATTTAGATGGTTTTCAGTTTAATTTTTTGTTTTCTATTTCTATTATAAACAGTGTGAATATTTTTGTGAAAAAACTCATTTTCTAGAAATGAAATTTGAGTCAAAGAGTATTATAGGTATTGTCAAATTGTCTTCAATTACTTTACATTTCTACTTAAATATATGAGAGTTCCTGTGTACCTTTACCATTATTAACCCTGGGTATTATCAAGTTTTTAAATCTTTGGCAATCTAGTAGCCTAGTTTTTCATTGGCATTTCTCTATTAGCACAAATATGTCTTAACATTTTGTTTTTCTAGCGTTTTGTCTAGAAGCATTATTCGTGTTCTAGAAGGTAATATCAATCTTTCCACTGCAAAGTATCATTCAACTAAACATTTATATGTCTACATTTTTGTCTAATATTTTTATACAGTATTACCCTCCAACACACCAAATGTGCGCAGGACCAAGAGAACACGATTGAAACCTTTGGAATACTGGCGGGGGGAGCGAGTACATTACCAAGAAAGGGAATCAGGTAAAATTTACTCTTTAATGTCTGAGACTAAAAAATAATCATGAGGATTTCTACAGTTTACTTGTATATATTATGTGCTAAGCACTGTCCTACATATTTACATCATTATCTGATTTAATCATCATCTCCCCTAAATGTAACAAGAATAGATTGAAATCCAGATTTCTCTAATTATTATGGAGATGCTAATTTCTTTTTCTTTTTGGTAGTAATTTGAGGTGTGGGGCTTTATAGAGTGTTACTATTTCAATACTATGTAACAAGATTTCTAATTGCATAAAATTAAGCATAAATCAGAACATGAGAAAATTATAACAGGCAAACATTAAGTATTCCTCATTATTAGTCTCATTCCATTTTGTCATCATATATTTCTACAGAAATGGTAGAGGGTGGGCAAGAAAGTAGTCAGTGTTATCTTGAAGTTACTTCTCTTTGATGGATAAATCTAAGTCAAAGGACTAAACTCAGATGTAGATTACTATAAACATTTCATTGCTTTCCTTTGTTTGTTTATTATAAACCTCCACCAATGACTGTTGCTTTCAAGCAACAGAGGTCATTTTATCATTTTTTTTCCATTTAAGCACTTAATCAATGCTTCTAGGTTTACGATAGTAGAGACATTAGTGAAATGGGCTGGTATTTTGTGTTATTTGAAGTAGTAGCTGTAGAATATAGTAATGTATTCTTTTGTACTTTGTAAGGAAATTGATGTAATAATTTAAAGAGTTCTGCTTTAAAGTTTTCACTTTCCCAGGTATGATACTTTGTCTTTTTTGTTGTTAATTTCAGGAGGATTTGTGATTGGTGGAATACTTTCCCCAGAAAGAGTATCATCTAAAAGGAAGGCCAAAGGAGAAACGAAAAAAGTCAAGCAAACAGTTAATAGGAAAAGGATCTGTCTTGATAACAATGAAAGAAGTATGAGCTTATTTTTGAAAGTAACGTTTAGATTATTTTATAAATAACTGCTTTGAAAAGTAGCTTTTTTGCTAATCTTGAGATTTACCTATGAAAACTTAAGGTGTTAGATTAAATTCACATAGAGGGAGGAAGGGGGAGAGAGAGAGAGAGAGAGAGACAGAGACATCAATGTGACAGTGAAACATTGATCGGCAGCCTCCTGCATGCCCCCTACCGGGGATTGAACCTGCAACCTGGAAATGTGCCCTGATTGGGAATTGAACCAGCAACCTCTCTGTGCAGACAATGCCCAACCAAATCACACTGGCCAGGGTGGGTAAATTTACTTTTTTTTTTTTTTTTTTAAATATAGCTTTATTGATTTCAGAGCGGGAAAGAGAGAGAGAAACATCAATGATGAGAGTCATTGATTGGCTGCCTCCTTCACTCCCCCAACTGGAGATTGAGCCCGAAACCTGGGCATGTGCACTGACGGGGAATTGAACCATGACCTCCTGGATCCTAGGTCTACGCTCAACTGCTGAGCCACGCCGGCTGGGGGGTAAATTCACTTTTTGTCCACTTTTTCCCTCCCAAATTTTGAAAGTAAACTAATTTTTTTTCTTTTAATTTTTAGATTCTTTAATTTTTAAAAATTTTTATTTTTTATAAATATATTTTTATTGATTTCAGAGAGAGGAAGGGACGGGAGAGAAAGAGATAGAGAAACATCAATGATGAAAGAGCCATTGATTGGCTGCCTCCTGCATGTCCCACACTGGGGATCGAGCCCAAAACCCCGGCATGTGCCCTAACTGGGATTTGAACTGCAATCTCCTGGATCCTAGGTCGATGCTCAACCACTGAGCCACTTTATGGCGGGGCTTTAATGTATTTTTTCAATTACAGTTGACATTCAATATTATATTGGTTTCAGGTCAACAGCATAGTGGTTGGACATTTATATGACTTACGAAATGATCCCCCTGATAAGTCTAATGTTCACCTGGCACCATATATAGTTATTACAATTTTATTGACTATATTCCTTATGCTATACTTTACCTCCTGTGACTAATTTGTACTTCTTAATCCCCTCACCTTTTTCACCCATCCCCTCAATGCCCCCCTTCACCCCTAACATGGTAACAGTTTGTTTTCTGTATCTGTGAGTCTCTTTCTGTTTTGTTCATTTTTTTTAGATTCCACATGTAAGTGAAATCATACGGTATTTGTCTTTATCTCTATCTAACTTATTTCACTTAGCATAATATCCTCTAGGTACATCCATGGTTGTCACAAATGGTGAGATTTCATTTTTTTTTTTATGGCCAAGTAATATTTGATTGTATATATGTATCACATCTTTTTTATCCATTGGCCTGTCAATGGACATTTAGGTTGCTTCCATATCTTGACTATTGTAAATAATGCCACAGTACTATAGGGGCACATACATCTTTTCAAATTGGTGTTTTGGATTTTTTTGACTAAATACTCAGAGGTAAAATTGCTGGGTCATAACGTAGTTCTGATTTGTATTTTTTGAGAATCTACTGTGTTTCATAGTGGCTGCACCAGTTTGCAATTCCACCAACAATACATGAATGTTCTCTTTTCTCTATGGTCTTCCCAATACTTCTTGTTTGTTGATTTATTGATGATAGCCATTCTGACAGGAGTGAGGTGGTATCTCATTGTGGTTTTATTTATTTATTTGATTTTGAGAGTACATTTATTAAAGCTGGAGACAGTGAAACAAGGAAATGCCTAGGATAGAAGAAGCAACAGGAAACTAGGCAGGGCTGCTTTGGCTCTCTAGAAACGTTATGGGAAAGAAGTGTGCCAAGACGGAGCTGCTCTCAGCTCACTGGAAAGCCAGAGAAAAGGAGGCCTTAGAGACTGGTTCAGGAGGCTAGCCCTGGACAAGCTGACACTGCCCATTGTTCCCATGGTTGCAAGGCTCCTGGGAACCCTTAGAGTTTAAGAGAAAGAAAATTTACTTGACAAGGAGATTTGAGTGGGTGTGCCCCAAGGAGAGCATGCCTAATTGTGGTTTTAATTTGCATTTCTTTGATGATTAGTGGTGTTGAGCATCTTTTCATGTGTCTGTTGGCCCTATCTGTCTGATTCTCTGGTCATTTTTATATTGGATTTCTTGTGTTTTGCTATTAAATTGTATGAGTTCTTTATAAATTTTGGGTACTAAGCCATTGGAAGTATCATTGGCTGATATCTTTTATTCAGTAAGTTGTCTTTTCGTTTGGTTAATGGTTTCCTTGGCTGTGCAAAAACTTTAGTTTGATGTAGACCCATTGGCTTATTTTTTGTTTTGTTTTGCCTACTTGAGGAGACATACCCAAAAAGTTGTTACTAAGGAGGAAGTCTAAGAGTTTATTGCCTATATTTTCTTCTAGGAGTTTTATAATTTTGTATCTTATGTTTAAGTCTTTAATCCAGTTTGAATTTGTTCTTGTACATGGTGTAAGAAAGTGGTCTGGTTTCCTTTTTTTGCATGTATCTGTCTAGCTTTCCCAACATTATTTTTTGAAGAGACTGTCTTTACTCTGTTGTGTATTCTTGCCTTCTTTGTCATAGATTAATTGGCCATAGAGGCATGGGTTATTTTTGAAGACTGTACTCTGTTCCATTGATCTGTGTGTCTGTTTTTATGCCAGTAGCATGCTGTTTTGATCACTATAGCCTTGTAGTGTAGTTTGATATCAGGTATTGTCATATCTCCAATTTTGTTGTTCTTTTTCAAGATTGTTTTGGCTGTTAGGGATCTTTTATGGTTGTATATATATTTTAGGATTGTTTGTCCTAGTTCTGTGAAAAATGACATTGGCTTTTTGATAGGGATTACAATGAATCTGTAGGTTGCTTTGGGTAGTATGGACTTTTTAAAGATGTTAATTCTTCCTGTTTGTGAGCACAGTATATGCTTCCATTTATTTGTATGTGTTTTAATTTTTTTCTTCAATGTCTCACAGTTTTTTGAGTCCAGGTCTTTCAACTCCTTTGTTAAATTTATTCCTAGGTACTTTATTTTTTTTGATGCAATTGTAAATTTAAAAGAATTTCTCTTTCAGATAGTTCATTATTGGTGTCTAAAAATGCAACTGATTTTTGAATATTATTTTTGTATCCTACTAATTTACTAAATTCATTTATCATTCTAAAAGTTTTTTGGTAGAATCTGTAGATTCCTCTATATATAGTATCATGTCATCTTCAAATAATGATAGTTTTACTTCCTTTTGAATTTGGATGCCTTTTATCTCTTTTTGTCTGAATGCTGTGGTTAGGACTTTTAATACTATGTTGAATAAAAGTGGTGAAAGTGGACATCCTTATCTTGTTCCTGATTTTAAGGAAAATGCCTTTTAGCTTTTCACTGTGGAATATGATGTTAGCTGTGGGTTTGTCACATATGGTCTTTATTGTGTTGAGGTATGTTTCCTCTATTATCACTTTACTGAGAGTTTTTGTCATAAATGGATGCTAGATTTTGTCAAATGCTTATTCTGCATCTATTCATATAATCATATGATTTTTATCTTATATTTTGTTTATGTGGTGTATCACGTTGATTGATTTGCAGATATTGAATCAACCTAGCATCCTAAGAATAAACTCACTTGATCAGAGTATATGACCTTAATATATTTCTGAATTCAGTTTGCTAATATTTTGTTGAGGGTTTTTTAAAATCTATGTTCATCATGGATTCATCATGGATATTGGCCTATAATTTCCTTCCTTCCTCCCTTCTTCCCCTCCCTTCCCCTCTCCTCTTTCCCTTTCCCCTCTCCTCTTCCCCTTTCCCCTCTTTCTTTCCCTCTCTCTCTCTCTTTCCCTCTCTCTTTCTCTCTTTCTCTCTTTCTCTCTCTCTCTCTCTCTCTCCCTTCCTTCCTTCCTTCCTTGCTTCCTTCCTTCCTTCCTTCCTTCCTTCCTTCCTTCCTTC